GTGATTGTACTCTTCGTCATAAACACTAGCTAGAGAAGCTTCACCGGGCTCTACTATATTATGACTAACACGTTCCATGTTAAACGAAACCCGTCTTCCTTTGCTAGGATGTTCATCCTCTACACCCAGTAGCCTGCTTCTACCGCCATCTCTCCCTCCCAATAACCTGAATTCTCCTTCGGTTTCTCGTCTAATCGCGCTATCTTTGATTTCTGATGAAATGTTGGAAGTTGTTAAGCCATTTGCCAAGCTATGACCGTAGTTTTCTTCCTGTATCTCTTGAACATGGAGATTATTACCAGAATTCCTCCTATACCGCGATGGAGTCGTGTTTGTCACGTGCTCTGTAACTGACATAACAGCAGCATCAAACGATAGGACGTCTTTACCATCATACATTGGACTACTGTAACTCTTTGGTATTGGTTTAGGCGAGTGACGTTGTTTCTGGTTTCTCTTGTTGGTAAACCAAACCGGTGGCAACGGAGATGCAATCTTGTTATGCCGATCAGAACCAAGAGGACTTTGACCCAAATCAATCCAAAATGAATTGTCTGATGACGCGTCTTCGCTAAAAACCGGACTTTTCATCAGTTCTCCAACCGAAACACTTTCGGTTTCTTCGAAAATTGTGGTGCTAGTAGTTCCATCTCTATCAGAAGAAATGTTATCTTCAAGGAGGTCTGTTTCAAACACATCCCTGACTTGAGCTGAAGTATATGCACCAGAGAAAGCCGGCATCTGAGTTCCCGGACGATGAGCTTCTTTGATTTTCTCGTCATTATGATCTTCAAAACCAACCAATCCGTCAAGACCATCTACTGAATCACTGAGATATAACGGATACTCAGGAGTGATCTTCACTATTCCTGATCCCGTTTTCCCGGACTGACTCTGAAGACTCCCCATAACTGATTTTTTAATCAACAGGCACCCAAATCCAGTCGGGTCATGACCAAACACCCGGTAGAATGAAGTAATGATAAACTCAGGCCGGAACAAAGACAAACCGAGCGAATCCATATCTTTGGGACCTAAAGAACCAGCATCAAGCAACACATGCCAATGGTTCTGCTGAGCTAAAGCCATCCACTGATAAGAATACTTAGCACCCGTAACTCGAGACTGAGCAGGAAACACAAACAAACCAACCGCGGAATCTTTCTTCTTCCTCTTCTTATAAGACAGCCGTTTCTTCAAATCAGTCGAACAAAGCTTCAACGTTGGCCATTTAAACCACGCGTTATAAGCCTTTGCGCCTTTCTCCTTAGCGGTCTGCGCCATCCAGTTAACAGACTGGCTCTCGTGATCGAACATTGTCAAAAGCCGTTTATTCGACTGGAAAGGATAAGATTCAGCTAACAATCTAAAAGCAGAGCCTCTGCTTACAGTGAAAACAAGACCATACTCATTCTCAGGGATGTTCAAATAATCCATAATCCTAGTCTTAATATCATGTTCCACAGTTCCACTCTCAGCTCCACCATAAAGCGCATGGTTACTCAAATTCGCAGTAATCTCAGATAAACTAAACGTACAAGAATCCCAATAGTGAAGAGTCTGAACATACGAAAAAAGCCCAAATCCACAGTAATCAAGACATACCTTCGAAGATGAAGATAAGTGACTATACTCATCAGATCTTAACTCATCAATTTTCTTTGAAGCTTGATACTTTGGATACATACTAAGAAACTTGTTAAAAGCTTCAATAAGCTCAGGAATTGAGTCTTCTGATTCGATTATAGCTTCAGTTGCTAAAGCAGTAGCTCGTAAGAACTCACGTTGTGCGTGAAGTCTAGCTAAAGATCTAGAACGACCCAAGGCTCCATCTTGATCCTCTTGCTCAATGTTTTGAGATTTTAAGAGTGACCCATTTTCAGAAGCTTCTTCAAGAGCTTCTCTTAGATTGTCTTCATACAATTTCCGAAGCAATAAAGCTTTTTTCTTGAGATTGATTGATGAATCTGAAGAAGACCCATC